GACAGGGTTTCTCTGTGTAGCTTTGCGCCTTTCCTGGAACTCACTTGGTAGCCCAGGCTGGCCTCGAACTCACAAAGATCCGCCTGCCTCTGCCTCCCGAGTGCTGGGATTAAAGGCGTGCGCCACCACCGCCCGGCAACCCACTGCTTCTTAAAGATGAAAACTTTCCTCCCTTTAATAACCAATTTCTTTTTATTCTAATACCTTTCCATTTCAAGTGTTTCTGAGTCTTCTCTCATTTGATATTTTTTCTGCCTTCTTTCACTTATTTATCCTTTTTGACAGCATTTCGCTATGCAGCCCAGCTTTGACCTCACAATCCTCCAGCCAAGATTTCTAAGTGCTAGAGTGGCAGGCAGCGGCCACCTTCACCTTTTCCCTCTTAAATCTATAATCTCTACTCCACTCAACCTTCTCAGAAAATGGACCATTTTTAATTATCTGTGATGTACTCTTTTTCCCCCCCTTCACTGTAAAATAATCTCAGAAACTGGGTGATTTCTCCAAGAAAAGAAATTAGTGTTCTTAGTGCCACAGAATGGAAGTCTGAAATCAAGGGGTGGTGGTGGATGAGCGTCCCTCTGCTGCATCATCGACTGTAGGGTGCATAACATGGCAAGGTGGTGTGCATGGAAGGATGGGGGCAAGAGTGCAGAGGGGGATGAAGGGGCCTCGCCAGCAGCCCACTCTCCATGTCACCAATTCCCCCCATGAAACCAGCCTTAATCACGCTCAAATGCCCCTCCCAGTGCATTGCCCACTACATGTCAGCATGTGCTTGTTTGCCAAATTGCTTCCTCAGACCTAAAAATCCAGAGTCTTTCAGTGCTCATTCTTATTTTATTGCATTTTCTTTGGCCACCTAGCATAAGAGGTAGCTGCACTTTGTTCTACTTCTCTCAGTCTGCTGATTTCTTTGTTTCTTCACATGGGGCTTCTGTCTCCTTTTCTGTGGAAACCCCCACTTGTTGCCTGCTGATTGTCTTTGGGCAGAATCCAGTCGTCTATCCATCTAGCATGGCTTCCTCTTTGTCTAACGTGCCTCCTCTAAGTGAAGATCAACCCCACTTATCATTTCAACTTTTCCAGGCTGGATATGCTACTTCTGAATAATTTCCTCATCACCTGACCTGGAGTTGATATGATTTTTCCAAACTATTCATTCAGCACCGTAATCCTGGCATGTACAGTATCAAATATCACAGTTTCGTAGATATAGTTTCATCCAGGCCTTCAGTGGATCCTATTTAAATGAATAGTAGTCACATCCTGATAGTCATTTATATCACTTTGAGTCAATTTGTCTCTGTTTCCAAAATCCGATAGATAAGAACAATAGCCATTTTTAACATATTTCACATATTGGTGTTCAGGGATTTGGGAAGGGCTCAGCTGGGTGATAATTCCGTGCTTCTGACATGTGCTAAAGGCTCTCAGCTTGTTTCAGGTTTTGTCACAGCAATTGTGGCTGGAAAGCTGGGTTTTATGGGTTCTAACCCCCATACCACCTGACTGGTCTCTCTCCTGAGACAGGTGTGGAGAGTTGGACTTCTGATCTGCTTCCTCGATTCTCTGAGGAATGCGTTCTGGATGGCAGGAAGTGGTCCTCATGCTGTAGGGCCTGGCTTGGTAATTAGAATTTGTGACTTCTGTTGTGTGGCTTGCTGAGCAGTACCACTACAGAGCAGCCCAGACTCACAGGGTGGAGGGCCCCGTCCTGGTGGGGTAGGGGTGTAAGTTCGACTCCGTGACCATGCTGACCAACCATATTCATTAGCTACCCTTTGTCTCTGCTTTTTGCTCATGATGGACAAAGCCTAAAGCCACAGTTTCTTTTATTTTTCTGAACAGTTGTGATAACTTGAAGTCAGTTTGTTCACCCCTCTGTTATTCTCTTTGCAATTACCTTTATTTTTTCCTATTTGTAATATATTTCTTCTAGTGTATATAAACTGCAGTAGTTTGTGGCCTCACAATTAAGACCTCACACCTTACTACTGTTTACTTTCTATACCATGACCTACACTCCAAGCTCTTCCTCTGCTCTCTTTGTATTACCTGGTGTCTGTACCAAGTACAGTAAAGCATTCTAGAACAGATGTCTACTGCTACCTCTTGCCTGTTTACCCACTCCTCAAGATGCTTTCTCATCCTCTCCCGTTGGTGTGGAATGACTTTTGAAATCCTCTTTATCCTTCAACATTGAATTCAAATATGACTCCTCTGTGAGACTACCCTTGAACCCTCTAAATGGCGGGGGCAACCTCTCTTCACTCCCAAGGCATTCTGACTTCTTTTAAAGTTAAGAGCTTGGGCCATAGCTCTTTGTACAAGCTTGCCTTAGTGTAGAGTGTGTTTAGTTCATAGTCTTGAAAGTGTCTTTGTTTCTAGCCTCATCCTTCTTTCCACCTGGTATTGCTCAATTTACGTTCTGTTTGATTCACACTTGGTCACTGGTTTTGCAGATAGATCGTCCATAAATTTCTACTGTCATTAGAATGATTGACAAGAATTGTGAGCCATAACGCTAATCAGATTGTTGGTAGAAGGCAAAGGCTGTAGCCTTATTAAATAGGGTCTTATGGATCATAAAGAGTGATGGAGTTACTGCATGTCAACTCTGTTTGCACAAGCAGGCCAAGACAGACTTACAAGGAAAGCCCTAACAATGATCACGATGATTAATCACTGTTACCTAAGAGGGGTGTGATCGAGGAGAGCTTAAACTTGGATTGTCTCAGATTTAGTTCATTTATTCACATACAGCCATACACACACATCCGCACCCATACATGTACAATCTATAATATGTACACACACACCCATATGCACACACCACACACATTTCCATACTCATATATTCATAATCTATACTGTACACATACATAGACATACACATACATCACATACAGACACCCCACAAATATATACAAATACATACACACACATCCACATAGCCATATATAGATGCATATGCACAGCCATACACATACATTAATACATACACACACCGAAAAACATACACACTAATATACATCCACATCTATACCCATAAACAAAAGCTATACTATACACACAGAAACATACATATACACACACAACACACCAATACACACATATTGATACTGTGCACATATACCCACTCACCACACACACCCATACATACACCAGTAAATCCATCAATATGTACATATCCATACCCATACATACATCTCCACACATTCATACCAATATACACACAATCTGTACTACACATGTGCATACACACCCATATGTAGCAGACCAATACACACATGTCTATGCTATACACATACACTCACCCATATACACTCACACCCTTACACACACACAGCATTACATGCATACACACACTCACCAAACACACACACACACACACACACACACAGAGAGAGAGAGAGAGAGAGAGAGAGAGAGAGAGAGAGAGACTCTGAAACATAATTTACTATCAAATATAAGCTGTTTGTATTCTCTAACATCCCTTGTCTTCACACATTACAAACTTAGAAGTTAGTGAATAGGACTTTTACAGCACACTATCCACCAGGAAATAAAACATGAGCTGATGTTCACAGGACCATTCTCTTGTGTGTTGTAGGTACTTTTCACCCATGAGGAGAAGGTGAGCTTCGTAGAAGACACGTTCCCAGAGTCAGAGACCCCTTGCCCACCATGAAGAGAGCCTGCATCCTTGCATGGCTGTTCTCAAGCCTGGGAGTGTGGAGTATCGCCCGCCCTGAGTTCCAGGAACCCGCCCAGTGCCAGAGAGCTGAGCATCCTGTTGTCTCCTACAAAGGTAAGGAATAAGGCTATAAGACATAAAGTGAAAGAAGTAAGACCACAATGTAAATGCAAATCCCATGTTTAGTGCAAGATAATAGAAGATGGTTGTTCTTTTTTGTTCTGTGACTTCACCTGGTAATTGTTTAAATGAAGACAAAAATAAAGATTCTTCCCCATAAGAATCTCAGGTCTAGAAGTAGTACTTGCTCATGACGGATCCCAGATGGGATTGCTACGGATAGAAACTGTGTTATTGTCCCATCATCATTTAACAGGTGCCGATGGGCTCCCAGACATTCAACTCAGAGGCTGAAACCATGGCATCAGCACTGCAGTAAACAGGAGTAAAACAGAAAAATTTTTTTTCTAGGCATTTCCTGAAGAAGCCAGGGTCTTACCATGACAAGCCCTGCGGTCCTCATCTAGCAGCACAATGCGGTAGAATCCATTATTGTCTGAAGGGTCTTCTTGGTGTAGTAGTTCTTTGTTGATAGGCACATTCACTCTTCGCTTCTCTACCAAAGTGATGTAAGATCTTTACGGCCTGGACACTTGAACAATCCACAGTGAGGAAAACAAAACACAATAATAACTATGCCTCTGTCCTCAACTGTCGCGGTAGCGCCCGCATTACCGATACCTGTTTACATGTCTGAGCGAAGGGCTGCGGATTAATCCCCTTATAGTAATCAGCATACCTACGTCGTAGCCGTTCCTGGCGAACTTACTGACGTCACCGCTCCGTGTGCTGAGTTCTGAATCCTCTTCGACCCCTCACCTGGTGTCCGAAGTTTCCTTCCCGAGTTTCGGCACCAGTTGCGGCGCGCTCCTCGGCCAGCGCCAGCGAGGAAGAACGACCACCACGCGAGGATCCTTCTCAGATCACACTTTATTGGAGCGCCTCTTGGTTAAGGGAGTGCGGGAGGTGAGGGGCGGCGAGGACTAAAATGCTGCTGCTTATATAGGGAATCAGGCAAACGTGCCGTACTGTGATTGGGTCCCGCCAGAATGCTAGCATGGGGAGCCACGGGATAGGCTGAGGACATAAGGCCAATTACCATACTCGTGCATCATAGCCCAAATATGGAGTTGTTTACAGCTAGGCTACCAGGAAGCCAGCGCCATCTTTGAATAATGGCTCCCTACACTCAACATGCATCTATTATCAGCCCAAATCAGACATTAAATTTTATTAACTCATTTCAACAGCTTTCCTTTAGGGTTGAAGCTTTGTATCACAGGCTTCTTATGTCGATATGAAATATAAACAATCTAAGTCCCAGATTTATCAATTTACATTCTATTTCTTTCTCATTTAAATACCTACCCCTGATTTGTCCCACATTTACCAAATTATGTTTATCCAAATTCAGGATATCATATAATTCTATCTATGATATTTCAGTCTGTAGCTGTTAATGAAAAGAACTTCATGATATTATTGTTCTATCAGACATGGAAAAGCTCCCAAATAAAATTTTTCCTAACACCATGAAGGGCATGGTCTCATGAGGGTGTGAATTCTATAGGGTCAAACAAGGATCTACCTGAAATCCAAACAGTACGGCCTTGTTGGGTAATTCTTGAATGTCTTTAAATCTTTTACTACACTTTTTTATTTCTCATGAAGAAAACATCTTTTAAAGAAATAGAATCACTCACCTGGTGTGGCATCTGCCCACTGAATCCTGATTGTATCACTCGAGTTTTCCTGAGTCCATTATAACCCGTAATTCCCAGGTTGACATGAGTCCTGATGAGATCTCCACTCACATCCTTTTGACTTCTGTGGACTCTCACTGTGAGGCAGTGTCCAGTGGGCAGTGGAAAGTTATTTACAGCCACTAGCTAATGGGAGCAGGCCTGAGCTGTTCTTATTTTATCATCTCTTCTTCATTTCATACTTAGAACAGTTCCATATGAACCAACTTTCCTTTGCCTGCTCTCTGAACACCCCTGCAGTGCAGCTGGGAGAGGAAACCTAGGCTGAGCTCCCTGACCAAGGCCAGCTTTTGTCCTGTTTTGTTTTCACTCCAGTTAATGGGTTTCCTGACATCTACCTGTTCATCCGTTTGTCATTCTAGGGGATCTGATAAGTTATGTTTTCCTTTCTCTATTGGTCATCTTGATATCAATATGTGAATTTTAATATATTTGATAGATTTTAATTCTTTGCTACTTTTTTGACCCTGTGGATGTTAGAACGATGCCCTTTCTGCATAGGAGAGCATCTTGAAGTTGGGTCCTGAGGTCAGTGATAACTTTCAGTCTCTTGGATCAAAGATGATGCTATTCTCTTACCTACTTCCTCATATCACTCTGGGAATGGTGCTTCCTGGCTGCTTGGAGCACTAGCAGTTAGGGCTCTTTAGTGAACAGTACTAAGGAAAACACATATGAAAATAAACTCTATGAACTCCTGCTATGTCCAGGTCATCTCTAGGCTCCAGGGCCATAACCTCTGCCACCTTATCCTCTGTTTCTTTCTCCTGTGCACAAATCTTTGTGTCTCTGAAGGGAAACACTCATTTCTTTTCCTTTCACATAGTGCATGCCCCCCTACTCCATCAGTACATGACCCATCACTCTTCATTACAGTACATGTCTACCCACTCCATCATCACAGTGCATGTCCTCCCACTCCATCATTACGGTGCATGTCCTCCCACTCCATCATTACAGTGCATGTCCCCCCACTCCATCATCACAGTGCATATCTTCCCACTCCATCATCACAGTGCATGTCCTCCCACTCCATCATTACAGTGCATGTCCTCCCACTCCATCATCACAGTGCATGTCCCCCCACTCCATCATTACAGTGCATGTCCTCCCACCCCATCATTACAGTGCATGTCCTCCCACTCCATCATTACAGTGCATGTCCTCCCACTCCATC